GTACGTCTCCATCTGCCTGCATGATACAATACCAATGCCGTTTTTTCTCATGTTCCCCCTGATCGCGGTGGACACGGGGGTCTGTAACGTCCTAGTGTTTACGCTGGCTTCATGGGTGCACAGCGGTTCGCTTGATGTCCTACGCAAGTTGAGACGATTGACGTGTGGCAGACGGAACTCTGTATTTGCTAAGAATCTAAAAAGTTGTTCCCTCCTGAAGATAAAGTTCGGGTCAAATTTTATAGATCGCGGGACAGCACTTGTGATTCAGGATTTCTGCATGAATCAAACAGCAAATCTTGTAATGATTAATTCAAGTCAATGATTCCTATCCTTATTTCGAGGATGAATCTGGAATTTGTTGAATAGATTGTAGGAAACACATGTGGAAGTAATAAGTACAGATAGTCAACTCTCTAAATGTACGCTTAAAAAACTCTAAAGAAATAGAAGGGTAACGCAATATTTAATAATAATAAAATGTCTAATTAAATAGACTATTCTCTACGAGTTCTGACCAACTTCATACTCCTAGCATATTTTATTCCTATGATATGTACTAACTTTAAAGGCGCAAATGTTAGAATTTCTCTTATTTTTTAATTTAAAAACCAGATTTGGTGGAGTATTTAAAAGGTTTTTACATAAACCCAAAATCTTCAGGTTTTAAGTGTGAATTAAGACACAATTCCAATTTCGAGGGTTACACTACCGTTAATTCGCATAAATTTTGCAGATCTCACTACGCTAACGAAAAATCATCAACGTTAACTCTTGAAACGCTATTGTACTTGTGTATTCGAACTTAATCTATGTATGTATGTGTATTTACATAAACTAAAAGAATATTACTTCAGAGTACAGTAAACGATATGAAGTTTATTTGCTCATTACAAAAATACTTGTACATACATACACTAACATACATATTCACCTAGTTCGATATATTTATTCAGAACTTATGAGGGTTACAACTTCAATAAATATCACACAGAATTGTGACGTATTTAATTAATTTGACAATACCGATTTAATTAGGAACCTATGGCTTTGTAAATCCTAATCTACGTACATATGTATTTACGTAGAGCTCCATAAATATCTTTAACATGTTGATAGTAAATTTTCAAAATGGAGCAACGCATTGCAAGTTTTTAATTTTAATAGCATCGTTAAATTGCATCTCATCTTCGGATAGTTCTTCCATTCAAAGATTTACATTGACAAGGTTTGACACCCTGTTGGATGTATTTTCCTCCTGTCGTAAAAATATATTGTTTCTGGAAAGCTATGATTTTTCTACGGAATACAATATCCAACTCGTCTCTTTATTCAATAAAAATAACGATTCAAGATACAAACGAAGTTTAGAACTTTATAATTCTCCAATAAAAAGTCAAAAAGTTTCCAGAAACACTTTTTACTATAGACAGGAAGACATTTCAGAAGAAACGACATTTGTTAACCGATTGGATTCCAAATCTGAATGTGTTGTCAGTACCATCTTTATGAAACGAGATACAACCTACACATGTATCCGTGACTCAATTTATTGGTCAGGATCGTTTGTCTCGGTGGTTAATTGGTTACAAATGAAAACTAATAGCGATTCGCACTTTGTCGTGCTTGTGAATGGAATTCGATTTACCGATGTGACTTCGACGTGTTATCGATACCTGCTGGAAAGACTTGTCTCGTCACACGTGTTCTTTGTGGGGTAAGTCAGATATCGGGATTAATTACGAAATTTTGCCGTTAAAGATTTTACTCAAGTGTGTAAATATATGTAGAGGCGCATAAACAATTCCTAGAAACAACGAATTTTACGATTTAGATCGTCGATTTTTGATGTACAGTGGAATTATTTGCCGCCACATTTGCATATTTGACGAATTCGCGAAAGATATAGAGTTTATTCAACGTGGGAAGCTCGTATCGCCTAAAATGGGAATATGAGAATTATGCAAATGAGGTGACACGTACAAATAATTCCACTGTAAATTGTGGATTTATTTTTAATTAATTTTACCGTGGCGTTATAATAAAACGACGAAATCTTTCTAATTTTCTCCAGGTTACGTGCCATCCATGAGCTACGAACACCTCATTTTCTACCTCACCATGTCTTTGAATTTGTTCTCATGCATCACCAATGCATCCACTGCATCTATCCCTACCATCTCGCCACGATTTACAACTTCCTTTCCAATATTACAAGTTTTGACGCCACATCTCTTTGGGCCCATCGACTCGACAGGAACGCCGTAGCTGTGAACGAAAAAGTTTTAAATTACAAATCCTGGGAGTCTATAATTTTGGCTGCCAAGAATCTCCAATTTTTTACCCTGATTGATCCCATCCACATCTTGCACAAAGATGCCACATTCGGATTCAGTAACTACTCATCGGGACGCACCAGTTTTTCCGATATTATGATAAACTCCCTGGTCAGAAAGTATTTTGTTGAAGAGAAAAAATTTATGGGACTGACTGTATCATCAGATAAGCATATTTTCATTACCTGCTCCTCTTCAGGAAGGACGCAGTTGCGGCTGAATTTTTACCTCACCCCGTTTGACACGTGGGTATGGGGAGGAATTTTTACCATCATTTTCATAATTTTCCCCATCATGACGAAACAGATGGGGCGACGGGAGAATTCTTATGTGAGCGGGATCCTACCGTTTCTATCGACTTTATTCGAAGTGTCGCCAAGTGTAAGGGGCTTATCGAAATTGCCCGGGATTAGATGGATTCTAACGATGTGGATGATAATCTCTCTCATATTTAGCAGCGAGTATAAGGGATTTTTGACAAATGAGGTGATAACCCCGATTGACAATAATCCCCCAGAAACGTGGGGCCAGTTACTGATGGAAAGTTCGCTGGAGATCTATTCCGTCTCGGATGGACGTCTCTTGTATCCGACGAGAAATCTTGTGCTACCCAAAGCGCGTTCTCCTTATGAACAAGCAATTTGCGACGAGATAAGTTATTCGGTGATGAACGAGACGATAAGATGTGGGCTCAGGTTGTGGGAAAACGATAGATGTAGCTATGATTATGGAGAGGAAGGAAATAAAGGATGTGTTAAAAGGGATACGAGTTTTATCAAGAAGTTTGGGATGTACACGATTGCGGCGTCGAGAAATAGGTAAACGAGTTTGTGTAATATTTTTTATGAATTTCCTTTTCATCTGTGCTATACATGTGTTAATTGTAAAAATGATAACTTAATGATCCAATGGTTTTTGTAACGAGAGCGACATATTGCGTACATTTTGAGGAATTTTATAATTTAATATGTAAATTTGCATATTTAAAATTTTTCATATGTAAAATTTGGTACAACAATTACTCGATTTGGGATATTAAAGTGAAAATCTTCAAAAGTGTAACGCGCCACCTCTGGAAAACGTTTTCATGCAAAAAATATATTTTTTGCGAATAAGTTTTCCGAAATTGCACATGACACAATATACAAATATTATTATTTTTCTTTTTTGCAGAATTATTGATGTCGATGATCTAAATCCGAGTGCATCAATGTATAATTATGCCGACGTGTATCGAGTGTTAGAAATGTGCAACGGCTCCGCAATTGCAGACACGGAAGAAAATTACTTTCTCTATTTGGAAAAACTGCTGCCGGCACGATCGCGGAAAAAGTTGTACAAGTTTGTGAGATCGAAGGACACTTTGGCCCCGATGAATACCCTGCTTCAATTTCATGCAGAGACAAACCCAATCGCAACGATGAGATTGATGGGAACACTGGAATCGGGAATTTATAACTTTCTGAGGAAATTGTTCGTTTTTTCGAGAGCCCTTCCCGGACTAAGGATTGAGGGAGCGGTAGAGTTTACAGCGTTGAAGTTAAGATCGAATATAATTACGGTATTTGTAATTTACGGGGGAGGAATTATTTCGGCAGGAGTATGTCTGATGATGGAATTATTAAAGTAAATAAATGGAATATACATATACATATGTACATTTAAAGCTAGTTGCGTATTAAATTTCACGCGAAATTCTATTTTTCTGGAGCGAATCCATAGATTGTGAAAAAACATAAATTTACATAATTTACGGAAGTCGATGAAGAAAAGGTGGAAAAATATGTCTAAAAAATGAGCAAGCAAATCTGCATAATATTGTTTGGGCTTCAACGCCTTTTGCGTTGTCATCCACGCAACGCCTTTTGTGTGGTCAAAATTTAATTTATTAACGTACGAGTTGAATTCTTAAATTAATTGTTACTGTGACAAAAATAACAATCAAATCTAAAGAAATCTAAGATTAGATTAAATATATAAATATATAATTTTATATTATTACGAATTTATTAATTAATACACATCTGCAATTAGCCACATTTCGGTTTGTAATGGCGAAGTTAAGCTATTTTCAGGAATTAATTACAGATTATTACATATACCTATGTTTATTTTCTACTTGCTTTTCTTCATTTATTTGCACGAAATTGAGGTTTTAGAGTTTTGGAAAGATAAACAATGATCTGTAAATCTTTGCGCAATTAAACTCGCATCATCAAAGTTCTATAGGGCAATTGGAAATTTGCATGGTCAATAATTGAAGAATTACACTCTCCAAAAAGTAACTAGATTATCGCACGAAAGGTACATTTGAAATCGAATACGTAAATATTACGACGCTAACTATTTAATAACAGTGCAGTAGCACTAACCTCATGCACGACGAGACAAACCTAACTAAATAATTACAATGTTGAATTTTGCCAATAAATAAATTATATCATAAAGGTGAGAGTGGTAAGAAAACCGGCTGCTTTGCATGTTACAAATCTCACGAAGGAAAATAGGAGGTACCACCATGATGCCTCATCTTTGACAATTGTTTATCATCATTGAGAAATGAAAGTGAAATCTTGCATGGTCAAGTTCAATTTTGCATATTTGTTGAAATATTATGCCACTTATTAATACATTTTTAATCCATATCAATACATCATTCGTAATGGTGCAATGTGACGTAAAGGTCGCAATTTTTTACTCCGGTACAAATTTCCTATTTAAATTTAAAACAAAAACATGTTGAGCAATAAGTTAAAAATAAGTTATTTTTGTATTTTAATATTTATACCGTGGACTCGATCCATTAAAAGATTAGGTGAGTTATTTATAGTTGCAAGTGTTACATTAGAAAGTATAATTACCCAGTTGCCAGTAGTCGTTATGTATGTAAGCATGTAGTTTATGGTGTGGTAAGACTACTTTTTGTTAAAAAATGCAGACAAAAGTCCGTAGATTTTTTATATTTCTGCCAGATAAATTATCTGAGATAACCTCCCGTTATTTTGTCTCAGTTTTTTTGAACAAACAGTACATAATAGCACAGCCAGACCAGAAGTGGTGGTACATGCAGCAAAGCGTTGCTGACTAAAATGTAGTGGCTTTTAATGAAGAAATTCACTTGGATATTTTAAAAGATAAAACAAGATTTATGAAAAAAGTAAATTCATGAAGTTGTGCCATGTATGTATGTAAACTCCATGAAATTCATAAACTTCACAATGTAGGTACACCGCCGTACACAGTTAAAAATGATTACGACATAATTAATTATAAAATCAGATCGCAAATTACATAATTACGAACACCTTATTGAATTGATTTAATATTTATTTTTTTGTATCACTAAATGTATTTTAAATTTCAGGTGGATTAAATGTGAATAAAAAGCTAGTAACTTTGTCCGGATTTTCCAGCGGGGGAACTTTCGCTCAACAATTGTACATTTCCCATTCGTCCATGTTTTCAGGGATTGGTGTATTTTCTCACAGTAAGATTACCCCAAATTCTTGTTCTCTTATTACCGTAATTAACTTTAATTTTGTCAGCGTTTTACCGATGCGGACCAGGAAATGGGGTTCTTGCGGATTATGACGCCACCTGCACAAAAACGGTAGACCAGAGAAATCCACGGCCTAAGGTGGAGTACCACCCGAGTAATGCGGTTGTCGATATTCACGCATATTTTTATCGAGGTCTGATCGACAATCCGTACGTGCACATTGCTCGGAAACCTCTATATGTGTTCGCGGGGACGAAGAATTATCTTTTTACGACAGGTTTGGGGATATTTAATTTTTTTCGCTGTAAAATAGTTCGGTAATAAACGTTATTACCAAGAGTGACAAATGAATCATATTGGGTAATGAAGCCAGTTTGGTTTTAATATTTCTACTCGTGATAATAAAAATGTGAGGGTAAATTAAGGTTTCGATTTATGCTAAATTATGACCAAGCAAGTGTTTCACTATTACCAAATTGATTACACATAGTCACATATCTATTACCGCCCGGTAATAGATATGTGCATAAATTGCTACCATAGGCATTTACATACTTTTCGTATCAAATTATAAATATTATGGACGTAACTTTAATTCTATTTTAGATATGAGCTTACGGATATTGCACGTTTTTAAGCCCTTCATTAAAGACAAGAAGGCTATCAGAGTGCGTGTAGAGGCGGCAAATTTGACCTTGGTGAATGAAATGATTTAGTAATTTAAACGTTTTCTGATTTTGTAACATTATTTGCTCTCTTTAATGCAGCCGACTAATCGAAAAGATCTCCCAGGATGCAGTGAACCTACGAATACCATTCAAATTTCAAATTGCGGATTCAGCGGGGCACTGGACGCTTTAACATTTATTTTGGGGCATGATTTAATTAGACCGCCGACGGGTAAGCCATTGAAGCAATTGTGACGATTGGAATTTACAACCGTGTCGATTTTTAGCTGATGTGAAACTGAACAAATTGCTGGAATTTGATCAGACCGATTTCTACGGGGAGGACGATGACAAAAGGAACGATATGGATTCGGTTGGATATTTTTATATTCCGCGGGTTTGCTATGGTAACAAAGTCGAATGTCTGCTGCACATCTACTTTCACGGTACAAAGCATAAAATTACAAAATGATTTATACTTGAGCTAAATAAAAAAAACCTTACAGGTTGCATGACGGGAAGGTAAGAAATACGCATTAATGCCCCATTTCACAATTCCTGTGTGGTCTGTTTTTTAATTGGCGTCAATCATGTGCCATGAAAAGCTTACATACTTAGCAAGAAAAAGTGTTATGCGAGTTAACCGTTTTGAGTAGAAATATTATATTCATGTGGTCGATGCAGTTTTCATAAAAAATAGCGAAATGTGCAATTTGATGTTATAAGTAAGTTTACTCGGTTTTTGTAAAATTTTCAACACTAGGCCAGTAATTTAGCTACACAGTAGAGACAAATGTTGTCACCAGTCCAAAATTGAGCAGTGATCAGTTTGATGCGCTATATTTATAAACTATTAATTATTCTTTGAACAGGGAATTTGTCGGCCCTTACCACATTTTAAACAGTGGATTCTTACAAGTCGCAGAGATGAATGGGATTATCATGATCTTCCCGCAGGCAGTGTCCAGCAAGGAAAATATGATCGGTTGCTGGGATACGTTCGGTGTGACAGGAGAACTTTACGGTATTTTAGTTACAAGTGACAATTTGAATTATATAATTGAAAATATTAAAACTTAATTATTTCTATTTTACAGCGACAAGAGAAGGTGCACAGGTATCCGTGGTCAAGAACATGTTGGATAAAATTTTGAGCAAAGAATTTCCTAACTTTGGCCCACCTCCAAGAAGGCGACAGCAGCAATCAAATGCCCCATCGCTTTCCAATATTTTTAAACGCTTTACAACTATACCGAAGTTTAACGTAATTATTAAAAAATGATTTGGTTGAGTTATCAAAAATGTGAGTGTCCGTGATTGCCACAGATACATATAATACACACGTACATGTGTGTGTAACATTTATGAATCCTTGAAGTTTTTATCCCTATGGAGTACTGCAATTACAGATGGACATAAAACTTTTACGTCTGTATACCATATGTATTTAAAACAATTCTAGATATTTGTACTTGGACTGAGGATGAGTCGTTTTAGAGTAAAAAAAATGTATTGCTTTACATCAAGGAAGCATTTGTTTTATGTTCATTTGTTTCTTTTCGTTTTTTTCGGTCTTCTGGTTTTAACGTGCTCAAGATCTCTTGCTACAGTTAAAAAACACAATTTATCATCACATGATAAAGCAAATGCGATTTTGGCAAAGTCTAGATTTTATATGAAAGCAAGTAACGAGATGAAATATGTGACTCACATATTTCATCTCGTTACTTGCTTCGTCTCACGTGATGTGTCTCACATCATGTGAAGGGTACGTTCGATGAAATCGATTTGTATTCATGGTGAAATAATGGGGCTTAAATTGGTCAAGTGTGATAAATAGATCGAGCAGAACGGAATATTTTTCAGCCATGTTATATTAAATGCTGACTGCTCTCATAACCTGGAAAAGGAGGTAGATTATTTTTTTCTAACTTGTGATTTCTTTAACCTGACTGAAGGTAAATTTGCGTGCCGGTAATATTTATTAAATAATTGCAAAATAACGGCTTTCGCGTTCCAAAAATATTTATTTCCTTACTGCAAAATTATTCTCTTTGTGAAGGGGGCAGGTGTTGTCCAGAAAGTTAAATAAATATTCCGGAAATGAATTCCTCGCACTTCATAACAGTTGCAACTACATGAACGTTAATTCCAAATTCGCGTTATTACAGCTCTGCAGTACATTATTAGTAGTAATTTCAATATTATATTTTTATATTCGCCTTCATGTGTAGCTTTAATTTGGTGTATAGCAAGTACTGTAGGAATCCCGACGCTAATTTATATGTACAGTGGGGAGCAAATTAAATTGTACGGTAGAAAAACTGTTCTATCTCGCATATTGATTAAGATAAGGGCTTGAAAATTTGCAAGGTAGTACCCCAGAAAGATTGTCGTTGGATGCCGTTCCTGTTTTGAAAAATCTCAAAAAGGTCAACGGTAACAATTTTTTACCCAAAACCTCATTTTTCAACTCTTACAGTGATTTTTTTCCTTGGAGGCTTTATTTTTTAATCGATAGCTCAACTCAATGTGAACATTTTGATATCTTGTTCAGTTCTCTACGATTTTTTTGAAGAAAGTTATGCATTTTTTAAAAAAGTGAATTTTGCGGATTTTACCAAATTCTCCCATAAGCGCAATGTTAAACTTTTCAAAATTCACTTTTTTAAAAAATGCATAACTTTCTTCAAAAAAATCGTAGAGAACTGAACAAGATATCAAAATGTTCACATTGAGTTGAGCTATCGATTAAAAAATAAAGCCTCCAAGGAAAACAATCACTGTAAGAGTTGAAAAATGAGGTTTTGGGTAAAAAATTGTGACCTTTGACCTTTTCGAGATTTTTCAAAAACAGGAACGGCATCCAACGACAATCTTTCTGGGGTACTAGTTTGCAAATTTTCAAGCCCTTATCTTCATCAATATTCGAGATAGAATAGTTTTTCTATCGTACAATTTAATTTGCTCCCCACTGTATGTACGAGTGCACAGATACATAGTTCCTATATAAATATATCGTTACGACATTTCCTACATAGTATAGTATACTAGTTTATGAGCCAATTTATAATGATTTGATATCTGTTGACACTTGAATAAACGATAACTTAACTTGACTTTAAGTGAAATGTATACAGTTTTTTTAACTGGGAAAAATGAATTCACGATTTGATCATGACAAAATTTTGTCACTGATACAGGCAAAAGGAAATACCTACTTACATAATAGTAGATTTCTAAACAAATCACTGGTACTAAGAGTTTAGAAGTTAAATATTATTACAGAATGTTGGAATTAGATAGATTAGGTAATTCTAATTTACAAGTGACCTTGGAAAAGCTAATACATAACTACACTTGTTAGACTACATTTGTCAATCTAATTAGACCATAATTCAAGTTGGCAGTTTTCGAAAAATTTCTATACACCTACATACAAATGTATGTCACATACATAACATAAAGGTTTCGATAGAATTTACCACTTACCTAATAAGATTTAAGTGTATGCTTAAAACTATATAACATGACAAAATTTTGCTTGAACTATTACAATTACAATTAATGCAATTTTCAACCGTGCTTATTAGTTTCTCATATATTTTAACCAGACCCGTTAGACCTTTGGGGAGAATTTAGTTATATTATTTTTAACCTGAAATAAAATTAGGTATTTAATGCTCATAGTTCAGTATAGAGGAAGGCCAAGTGTACTGTACAAATCTTTTTCGCATCGATGTCACCGAATTTAATAAACAAAACTCCAAATTTAATTTTGGGAGAAAGGATTGATATGACATAGCTATTTTTGAACTATGTGCAACCACTCCCCCTTTAAAAATTGGGGAATAAAATCGGGAAAAATGAGAAATCAAATGTACCTTTGGTACAATAAGAATAAGACCTCAACTTGCATTTGACATTTTACTTCCCCCTTGAAAACGAACATTTTGATGCATCAAAAGTTTCAAAATTCGAAAATTGGCGGTTTTTTTACGCACGCACGAATCATTAAAAAACGCATGGTACCAGCCATTCACTTCGGACAACCTGATGCCAGATTTTTCTCCTTGAGAAGAGCTACATTTTCAGCTTTTGTCGTCCGAAGGGAAACGCTGGTACCATGAGAAATTTGAGGTCAAAGTTTCTGAGGGAGGGACTTATTTTGCAAGAGCCGTAACAAACTCTAGGTACTAATGAGATATGTAAGTCAATTACCCAACTTACTAAAATTTGTGATATTTTAATTACCTAATCACCCCAAATTTAAAACTTAAGTTTTTTTGAATTTATACGAACGTGTGTTTCGTGAATTTATACGGCAGTGCCATACGGCACTGTCACAACGACAGCCAGCGGTGGTGGTGGATACCCACCAGAATCCGATTCTCACTCTGTCTCATGCTAAATATGGAAACGAGTTTTGTAGTACACTTGGGCTGGCTCAGTTCTATAACTATTTACCAAGGATAAGTGGAACCGACGAATTGCTACAAATTAAAACATTTCGACATTTTGTATAATAATGAGATAATTCAAATGAATGTCTTTCCTACTTTTTCATAGTTGCACATGATTACGGTATAAAATTTACGACTATAAAAACAAAATTCCTTGGACAAATTCGAAGCTGTATTTTGCAGGACCAGAAAACGCATAATATTTTGTGTCGTCTTACGACAACTTTTTAATTGAAAGGCTACGTCTTAAAATAAATATCTATTCGAAAGAGAAAATAATCTCTTAAAATGATTGTTTCACGATTAATGTGGTCTTCTCTTGATTTATGTTCAAAATACTACGCCCACTTCTGGCCCCACCCGTTCGATTGGAATCCGTTGAAAAAGAAATTTGTTGCAAATCCAAAATCCCCAAAGTTGTATTTTTATTTTTTATCGATGGCGGCACTTGGATTGGTACCTGTCACCTTTTTGACACTACTGTCTGCCTACGTTTTTGGTTTTAGTAAAGGGAATCCAACTTTCCTTGAAATACTAGCAAATTTAAACATTTTACTGTTAGTAACGCTAACATTGGTCACGGAATTGTCGTTTGCGACATATGCCGATGAATTGGAACTTTGCAGTAACTACTTGGTCAGTCTGCAAGCCACAGTTCCATCATGTAAGTTCACTTGTGGTATCGCAAATATCTAATTACTGAGCTTCATAGTTTGCAAAAGCAGGTCGAAATGGTTTATACAAATTCATATTACGTTAGCCACATGAGTTAGGGCAGTCCAGGGCATAAAATTACGGCCGAGGGTTTTTACTTCTCGTAAGATGAGACATGTTGAGTGAGGCGGGGCTGGCTTTACCTCACTCACCATGTCTCATCTTACGAGAAATAAAAACCCTTGACCGTAATTTTGCTCCTTGAACGAGTTCCTCCTTGGCATCCAACCGTGCACGACGTGTCTCTCTCTCGCTCTGCAACTGGATCCTCTTCCATCTGGGTCGCGGGTGTGCCAGGTCTAGTAAAGTGTGTCCCAAGGCCATTTCACCATGTGAGCCTCGTCCACTCACACCCCCCATCTGCGTGCCTGGTAACACCCCCTGCCACACCCGTCCCAGCAACGACAAGCTGAGCCATCAGGCGAAGACGGATCTCGCCGGACTCAGTGCACGGGAGGATCTACGCCAGGAGGACTCCCCCAGGTAGGTCATTGTTTGATATGTCGGGGTGGTGACAATGGGGGGTGGTTGGTGGAAAAGTGGGAGCGGGATCGTGCATGGCGGTGGGCAGCGTAGTCGGGGCTACGGGGGTCCCATGACCCGGTTGTGCTGTAAGGGATGAAGGGGCAAGTGAGTAGTGTCGATCGGCCCCGGCTGAGGCCATATGGGGACACTTAGCCCGAACCCGAAAGGGGGCTAGGGTATTTTGTGGTCCGTGGACGCCCCGCCCAACAACCTTCATTCGTCTTGCTTCCGCCTTCACGGTGCCGTCCTCATTTGGATATCACCACTCTCCCGTGAGATCTGCCTATGATCTCTATCACTCATTTGTCCTACCTGGGTGTCTCTGTAGTCAGAGCCGAATGGACCTCTGGGCCACATTCCCAGAGGTGATGGTGGTTTTCCTAGCTCTTTATCTTAGCTAGGTTTTCCCACTATTCCTCTGACTACTTTCTACATTACATTTACGATTACATTCACATTTACATATCTAACTCTGTAATATTTAATGTTGATGAGGGCTGCTGGCCATATATCAATAAATACTATACTATACTATATAATTTTGCTCCTTGAACTGCTCTAACGCAGATGGCTACCGTAAGACCGTAATATGAATTTGTATAAACCATTTCGACCCGCTTTTGTAATCTTTGAAGCTCAGTAATTAGATATTTCCGGGTTGTAGGGTTTTATGTAGTGTTCCACTTTTGACTGCGTGCCTTACATATGTATATTTATGTCTTGTCTCAGGTGTGCCTTGTCGAACCGTAAAATGGGATCAGTTGGGAATATTTGGACACATTATACTAATCGTGCACACAGCAACTCCTTGGTTATGCATGGTATTCGTCCTTGCTGTAGACATTA